TCTTTCCCTCCCAGATAAACTGACAAATTTCTCCCTTCAGGATTATATAAACTTTCAGGGGCTTGAGCCTGTGTTTTTCTTCTGTGTTTTTCCATTTAAATGCCTCTCAACTGCCTTCAATATTCCTTGTCCCCTACAGTATACTCAGGAATAATCCAGTGACTGTTTTTTTCTTTTCCTTTTAGTTAATTTAAACATTACTTTTACATTTGTTCCCTGCATACTTGAAGTATATAGGAATCACAGCCCTGCCTATGGATGGCTGGATTTTGCTTTTTGTTATTGGAATGGACATCCCCTTTATTATTACATATGGAAAATGATGTATTTGGTCATGGTTGGCCCATCTACTGAGCTGGTGGGATAATTGCTACTTAACTTGTAGACAGCAGAAAAACTGTATGCCACCTCTCTAGAGAACAGGCCTAGGAACCATGAGCAGCAAAAGAGAGTGTGTACTTTCTACCACTTTCCATTCACTAATGGTTGCAACTGAGGTACAATTGGGATAGAGGGAGGAAGGGAGACAGAGGCTGCTGGCATTGGTCTAGAGGCTGCTCGCTTTCTTAGGTGGAGGGAGAATGAGGGAAAGCAACAGGAAGATGGCATGGCTGTGTTCTGTACAGTTATAAAGCTTTAAAATGTCAGACCTGGAACCCATGCTTGTTTTCAGTCTGCAGAATTGAGCTCACATTCATTATGGTTTAACTATATACATCCATCTCACTTTCTTTGCATGTGGTTTTCTCTGTCCTTTCCCATTTTTTGTTTCTCCTGTTAAAAATGATAATGCTGCAGCTGCTGTGACTACCCACCTTAGGTCAAAGCACCAGATGCACAGCCCAGTTATAGATCACAGCTACCACCATATGACATGAATCTGCCTTATACTGAATCAAATCATTGGCCCATCAAGGTCAGTATTGTCAATTCAAAGGTCTTGTACAGCACCTATTACCTGATTCTTCAATATATATATTTTTACATTGGAGATGTGGTGATTTAACCTGTGACTTTCTGCATACCAAGCAGATGCTTTATCACTGGGCCACAGCCCTGACTGAAGACAAAAGCAATACACACAAAAAATAAGATGCAGAAATGGAGGAGCATATAAACGGGAAAATGAAGGAGGATGTAGATTTGGATAACTGTGTGCAGAACTGGGTCAACCTAGGCCATCAACTTGCTCAGAAAGACTACTGAAAACATAATTCTAATAAAGAAGTGTTCTTAAACTGGTGTACTTCTAACAGGTCCCAATGTGTAGGTTTAGTTTTTCCCGGCCGTATTATGGAGTCTGCATGGTTTCCTTGTAGCACTGGGTAATGGTATGTTCTAACAAAAACAGGCACCCCCCTTTCCCCCCCCCCCCTCACCATCAGCACCTCACTGGAATTTGGACATTGTCTGGATGAGTCAGTTAATCAGACCAGACCGGGCAACCCAAAAACTCAGTCAATGCAATAATACCATCCTTCTGAGATTACTATACCATTTCAGAATATGAGTGGAAGACAGCATGTCTGAATTATATTCAGAAAGAAAAAAACTCCACTGGAAGTCTGTATACCGGTGTGCAAATATGCTCTCACCTTTTCTTCTGAGATGCTATCTTTCCAGGGGGAGGGAGTTTACACACACAGTGCTCGAAGGACAGTACTGGATGCTTTTAAAAAAGAAAATCTTGTAGAGTAGCCTTCTAAACAAAACTATGCACTTACAAATTGTTCATAATTATCCACCAGTACCAAAAATAAGAACAGATGCAGACTGTGCCAAGTCTGTAATGCATGGTTTCCATATGATTAATTACATACGTATCCTGCCCTTGCTCAAGGTGGCAATCCCATTTATACTCATTTATACAATCCCATTTATACTCACAACAACTTTGTGAGATAGGGCTGAGAGATGGTGCCACAAACTTTTTGTGTCTGGCATTCTGTTTGTTATACCACATATAGGCTTCCATATGTGGAACAATCTCAAATAATCACACTGGCAGACATGTCTAAGAGCTATAAGAATGTAGATACACAGAAGTGGAGAAGCAGTGGTCCTGATATATGGATTTCATATGGGGCAGTTCAAGGGCTTGCTTGTTGCTCCCCTGCCCCCAACCACCCAGGGTGTGCTCCTCGAAGCCCCGCAAAGGGGGAAAGAGTGGAGCCTGATGGTAGCAGAGTTAGAGGCTTCCTCTTCCTCCCTTCCTTGTGGAGAAAGCTGCGGAGGAGGGAGACAGTGAAGCTGGGTGCTGCAGAAATGGTCGCGGCCTGCTCGTCCTCCCTCTGTGGGGCTGAGGCTGGGGAAGGTGAGCAGATAACTGCCAGCTTCCAAGCAAAGGACAGGACTCCAATGGACTGTGCCGTAATTCAAAGACACCAGCACAGAAATTAGAGCACTGTGCTCTGCTGAGAGCTGCATTCTGTAAACTGGTACCTCTGCATTGCAGTCTTGTTTAGTTCCAGATAAAGGGGCAGCAGAACTGAAAGTAGGCTGGGAGGCAAGTTCAAATAGGAAACAGCAGCTTATCCCAGAGAATCAGCAACAGAGTCAGAGCACAGTGAAAGGAAGTCTATCATTCCCTGCAGTTCTGAATGGTCATTTTTTTTCTCTTAGTGTTGTGTTTTTTTTGGTTCCACCTTTTACCACTATTTTCCTCTGTGGCCTTGTAAATATATCTGCCAATGAAGGATGCAATTCATATTCTATGGGCTCTAGTCCACAAAAGTTTATGGCACAGTAAATCTGTTGGTCTTTAAGTGGCCACAAGATTCTTTTTCTTTAACCAGCTAAATTAACAGCCATAATGATAAATGGAGCTGTTTTATATGCCTCATCTGCTGGCTTAATGTGGCACACTCTTCTAAACCCACTGACTAACAGGGAGTTAAAAGGCTGTAACTCTGCTTAGGATTGTACCGGACATTTCTTGAGATATTTAGGAAGAATATCAGCAAAGTGTTGCCATCAATGAAAATGCCAATTAAACTATGCTTAAATATACCTTTCTCTGCACTTAGCAGAGGTCTGACCAGGTGTCCGACTTGCTTATTCTGCTCCCTTCAAGCATAATACTCTTGCTTTTTATTCATAAACTCAGAGAAGCTGATATCCCACGTGCCTTCCCTTTATCAACTGGACTCAGCAACTTGATAGGTTTCTACTGTGGCAGTTCCTCCATGAGGATCTTAGCAACTTATCCACCCCACCCCGCGCAGGTATTTGTTTGAACTGCATCGGGAAAAGAAGCGAGTGTGTGTATAAGTCACGTAGGCATGGTAAACTGTTCCGGGTATGTGAAAACCGGAGTCGAAGGGACAACGCCTTTGCCGCTTTCTGAGGAGGAAGCCGCCCCAGGGCTGCGGCCAGGGTCGAGCCGAGGACTGGCGGCGGTGCTTTCCCCGGGGCTGCACCTGTTCGCCGGGCGGCCGAAGCCCCGCCCCTTCCCCCGGCCCTTCTACAAACGCGCTCGCCCACCGGGCCGCGCTTGGCGCTCGGAGCTGCTTCTTGCCCCGGTGAGGCTGGTTATGGCCAGGCTGGTGCGCAGCCTGCGGGACTCGGAGCCCGTCGCCCGCTTCCAGCGCCACTGCGGGCTCTTCCCCGCCACCTCCGAGGTCGGAGAGAGGGGGGCGCGCCGGGCTGTAGGCGTGGGCAACGGCGGCAGCCGCCCGTCGGGGACTTGGGACGTGCGCGATTTTGGCGGCGACGCAGCCTCTCCCGAGCATCGTCCCCGCCCGCCGGCGGACTGCGCCACTCGCAACGGCAGCCCCAGCAACAGTCGGAAGGTAACAACAGTTGAAACTGGGCGGAGGAAGAAAGTGAGGAAGGGGGCTTCCGAGGGCAGAAAGGTCGGGCCGGCGTCTGTGTCTCCTCGGCCAGCCGTCTGAGGCACTCGGCCTTCGGCATTTGCAACCCTCCCCGGCGGTCATAGCGGGGAGTTGTCCGACCAGACCAATTTCCCAGAAGCTGCTGCTCCGCGCTCCTTCGTCCCTTTGCCCCGATCGTACGTGTCTATTTCACACGTTTTTGGTTTTTGAGGATTGAGTAAGGCGAAGCTGCGAGGCAAAATGCCGCCGCGCAGCACATAGTGTGAAATTGACACTTACGATGGGGCAAAAGGGCAGAGCGAGCGCGGAGCAGCAGCTTCTGGGAAATCGGTCTCATCAGTGCCTGCCTAGCCGTAAAACTTTTTTTTTTTTTGCCCATCCTCTTGCCTCGCCCCGCCAGTACGCCCTGGATCTCTCTCACGAAGGCAGGTGAACTTCCTGTGGCTGGCATTAAGGGGACAGTAGGGCGCAGAGCTGCAGAACTCGTTTCTTGCCAAGAAGACAAGTAAATAATTTAGTGGCAAGAGAGTTCAGTATCGAGGTCGGGTTTCCGCTTGAGAGAAAGGACACCTGTCCTCCCATTTCTGCAGTCACGTTTAGTTCAGGCAAAGTATCCAGCCTTGAAGCTGGTCTTTGTTTGTAAATTCTTTTAGTATGCTGTTTGCTACTTTGCTGCTATTCACAGGGCTTACCACCTTAATCGAATTGTAGCTATATTTATTGCTCAGTTACTTAGGTTGCTCTTGACTCTAATTAGCCTATCCTGGCACCACCTCCCCACCCTCTACTTATATGTAATGGTTGGTAACTTCTGTTTCTATGTATCTGATCTGAAGAAGTGTGCATGCATGCACACAAAAGGATGCTCTTTAAAGTATTTGAAAACTGCTTCATTCCCAGACTGCTTCTGGCAAATGTGCTAGATCGCTTCCTTTTCATGTTAATCTTGTAAACAAAAGCTATTTGAGTAACTGGGCTGTAAGTAAACCTTTCAAAAATAAAAAAGTAGATGACAATTATTGGAATAATAGTTTGTGGGTTAGTATTTGCCAAAGGCTTGTGTGCACGCTGTTTTTAAAAAGTCCTTAACTACTAAGGCACTTGAGGGAACTAAATCTGACATCCAAGGAGGGAAACTAAAAACATGGCATGGTGAAGAATCATGGCATTTTCACTGAGAAGTAATTGGTTGATCTAAGGCAATTTTAAATATGTTCCTAACAGCTATTTCAACCATTCTTTTTTTTACACAACTTTTAAAATGACCTCAAAGCATTCTAATATAACTGTATGTGATTTTCCAGCGGATCATAACAAACATATTGATTACCTTAGACTATTATGTGTGTGTGTGTGCGTATGTATATGTATATAAAAAGGCAAGCCTTTCTGGGGAAGGTGCCTCGGTGTCCTATTGGCGCATTCCGCTTCTCCAGTTTTACATCCCCACGTTTGATGTGTTGCACCTTGGGAGTTGTAATTCTCAGCTGGCCTTACTGCAACCATTGTTGTTGTTCAGTCGCACAGTCGAGTCCGACTCTCCGCGACCCCATGGACCAGATCCCGCCAGGCCTTCCTGTCTTCTGCCGTCCTCTGAAGTTTGCTCAATTTCATGTTTGTTGCATCTATGACACTGTCTAACCATCTCGTCCTTTGCCGTCTCCGTCTTCTTTGACCTTCAATCTTTCCCAACATCAGGGTCTTCTCCAGTGAGTGCTCCCTTCTCATTTGGTGGCCAAAGTATTTGAGCTTCAGTTTCATTATCTGGCCTTCCAGGGAACAGTCAGGGTTGATTTCTTTTAGGATTGACTGATTTGATCTTCTTGCAGTCCAAAGGACTCTCAAGAGTCTTCTCCAGCACCATAGTTCAAAATAATCTATTATTCGGCGCTCGGCCTTCCTTATAGTCCAACTCTCACAGCCATACATGACTACTGGGAATGCCATTGCTTTGACCATGCGGACTTTTGTTGGCAGGGTGATGTCTCTACTTTTATCATGCTGTTTAGGTTCGCCATCACTTTCCTCCCAAGGAGCAGGCGTCTTTTAATTTCATGGCTGCTGTCACAGTCTGCGGTGATCTGGGATCCCAGGAACGTGAAGTCTGTCACTACTTCCACGACTTCCCCTTCTATTTGCCAAGGAGTGATGGGGCCGGATGCCATGATCTTAGTTTTTTTGATGTTGAGCTTCAAGCCCACTTTTGCGCTCTCCTCTTTTACTCTGAGCAAGAGGCTCTTTAGGTCCTCTTCACTTTCTGCCATTAGAGTGGTATCGTCTGCATATCTGAGGTTGTTGATCTTTTCCCCAGCAATCTTAATTCCCGCTTGTGATTCATCCAGGCCAGCATTTCGCATGATGTACTCTGCATATATATTAAATAAGCAAGGTGACAATATACATCCTTGTCGTACTCCTTTTCCTATGCTGAACCAATCAGTTGTTCCGTATCCGGTTCTAACTGTCGCTTCTTGGCCCTTATACAGGTTTCTCAAGAGACATGTGAGGTGGTGTGGTACTCCCATCTCTTTAAGGACCTGCCATAGTTTGTTGTGATCCACACAGTCAAAGGCTTTAGCATAGTCAGTGAAGCAGAAGCAGATGTTTTTCTGGTACTCTCTTGCTTTCTCCATAATCCAGCGAATGTTGGCAATTTGATCTCTAGTTCCTCTACCTCTTCGAAACCCAGCTTGTACTTCTGGCAGTTCTCTATCCACGTACTGTTGAAGCCTAGCTTGTAGGATCTTGAGCATGACCTTGCTAGCATGTGATATGAGTGCAATTGTGCGATAGTTTGAACATTCCTTGGCATTGCCCTTCTTTGGGATTGGAATGTATACTGACCTTTTCTAATCCTGTGGCCACTGTTGAATTTTCCAAATTTGCTGGCAAATTGTGTGCAGCACTTTAACAGCATCATCTTTTAAGACTTTGAATAGCTCAGCTGGAATACCATCACCTCCACTAGCTTTGTTGTTAGTAATGCTTTCTGAGGCCCATTTAACGTCACATTGCAGGATGTCTGGCTCAAGGTCAGTGATTATACCGTCGTGGTTTTCAAGGACATTGAGGTCTTTCTTGTATAGTTCTTCTGTGTATTCTTGCCATCTTTTCCTAATCTCTTCTGCTTCTGTTAGGTCCCTACCGTTTCTGTCCTTTATTATGGCCAGCTTGGCATGGAACGCTCCCTTGATTTCTCAAATTTTCTTGAAGAGATCTCTATTCCTTCAGTCCACTATATTGGTAGACCTGGCCTCGGACAATTGCCTTATGCTGAGCCTTAGAAAACATACCAGCACTGGGGGGGGGGGCCTCTTGCTGTCTGCTTTCTTTATTTTTTTAAATATGACAAGGTCAAGTATAACAGAGGAGGAACAATCACTGCCAGAACCCTGCCTAACCTAACAGTGAGTTGCTGAAATGTTATCAACCTGCCCAAACAACTTATTTATTCAAATATTTATCTCCTACTTTCCCCTGTGATTCAGGGCAGCTTACCGCAAGGCACACTGAAAAGTATAATAGGGGTGTGAAAAAAACAAAACAAAACACTTTTTCCTGGCTCCATGGTAGCCTATGGGGACCATTATAATCAAAGGCCCCATAGGCTATAATGGAGAAATATTCTGGGGGTATCTGGGGCTTTGGGGGGCTGTTTCTTTAGGTAAAGGCACCATATTTGCAGCATAGCTGCTGGTGCTTCTCCTCAACACCCCCCCCCCCAGTTTCAAAAAGTTTGGACCAGAGGGTTCAATTCTATGGGCCTCAGAAGGAGTACAGGAAAATAATGCAGCTTTCGGTCTCCATTGGGGAGAAAGACTGGGTATGGTATCTCCCTTATAAATAAAAGCCGAATGATGTTGGGACTTCTCTAGAACATTCCACACAGTTCGCTCTCTGATCTGTCATTCAGAGGGTCTCCCTATTCACTGGCTGCTTTGCCTGAGTCCTGCCTCCAACATTCTAAACATTTTGCCGTTCCTCTCCCCCCCATAGCCAGTCAGAACACAGAGGTTATTTGCATATGCAGCCTCATTGGCCTCTGCCTCAGAACACAGAGGTCATTTGCATATGCCACCTGATTGGCTTTTGCCTCTAACATTCTAACCAGTTTTGCTCTTCTGAGGTAAAATGTGTCCAATCTCCAGGTGAGGGCTGGAGATCACTCAGAATTACAACTGCTTTCCAGATGGCAGAGATCAGTTCCCCTGGAGGAAATGGTGGGCTCTGTATCCTTATATGCTGCTGAGGTGGCCCCCGAATGACAGCCAATGTGATGTAGCAGTCAGGGCTTCAGAGCACAGGAGAGGCTGCAGGTGTGTGGGGGGTGGAAAGCTGAAGAGTGAGGGGAAAATAAAGGTAGGTTGATGATTGGCTGGTAAGGAGATAGGGTTGCCAACTCCAGGTGGGAAATTCCTGGAGATGTGAGGGATGGAGCCTGGAGAGGGTGAGGTTTCAGGAGGCGTGGGACCTCGGACAGGTACAAAGCCATAGACTCTACCCTCTAAACCAACTATTCCCTTCTGTGGAACCACCATTGCCAATCTCCAGGTGAGGGCTGGAGATCACTCAAAATTACAACTGTTCTTTAGGTAGCAGAGATCAGTTCCTCTGGAGAAAATGGTGGACTCAGTGTCATTATACCCTGCTGAGGTCGCCACAGCAAATTGACACTGAGTGTCCAAGGCCGGGGCACCCACCCAGAGCCTCTTTCTAGAGGCCGTTGTATTTATTTCTACGGGCCTTTTCCCTAGTTTGTTATAAATCTATTTTTTAATTATATTAAAACATACATCATTTGTCATATAGCAAAGTAGCCTTTACAAAGGGTTATTAGATCTTCCACCAACACAATAATAATGCTGAAATGGGTGTTCTAACTTCTGTACTACATGTATAACCACTAAAACAGATTAATGTTCCATTACCATGAATGTAAAAGGTTTTTTTGGGGAAGC